GAGAGAGAGAGAGAGAGAAAGAGAGAGAGAGAGAGTATGAACTCAGATTTGGAGGAGGAGTGATATTTTAAGAAGTTTTTGAAATTTAAGTGGAAGAACTGTTTCTGAATACACATCTTATTTCTAACCCTACCTTAATGTGTGATGCGTTGATGTAACCTGTATTATTTTCCTTAGTAGGGACTAGCTCAACTCTGGTGTCATCATAAGGAAGCACATCCTGGAATCGGTTCCTCTCTGCATTTTCTGGGAGACAGGCTATTGAACAGTCGCCTTCTACCAGCCTTTTCTTTTGAATTCGTTCATATTCTGTAAACACCATCCCTTGGTCTAACCGTTGTTCCAAACCTTTAAACTAAAAATATAGAAAAACAGATGAAAGTAATAATTAATTAATAATAAATTATAACATTAAAATAATCAAATTAATTAATAATTGATATGATGAATGAAGGTGAATATACATGTCTCAGGATAATGTTGCAGGATCCAGACCGAGGTTTAAGTCATCCGAGCTTTCAGACATGTGCTGGAGCCACCCTCAGGGAATGTCTCTCTAGTCTGGGCGCCAGCAAAAGTCCGAAAGCTCGGAAGACAAAAACCTTGGATCCTGGTGACCGACCCAGATTGGATCTTGCAATTTCCCATTTCACATTTTCTGAGTTTGTCTAAAACATTCTTGCTTTTCCCCTTAAGCTAAGTTTCCCAATGGTTTGTAACATATTTTAAATATTTGTATGTTTCTTCTCATTGTTACAAACACTGCCAAACATACCAAATGTCATGGTTCCGACAGATGAAACTCTTCAAAAGAACTTCGAGGCATTGTTTACCTTAAAGAATCTTTTATTCGAGAAACAAAGTATCGGCACTATATAGTTAAAACTAGAAACTAAATTCCCCTCCCCTGGTTACAAAGTAACAAAGTGCAATTCCCTCCTCCAATAAACAGTCATAAATCACATTCCCCAATTAGCTTGAATCGCAGCCTTTCTCCAGCCCACCAAAACACTATCAGCTCTGGGCCCAATGTCATTGGGTTCCCACAACTAAGTTATTATTGTTATGACTAGCTGGACTCTCATCCCTATTCCCCCTCCCAGCATAAACTAATTCTAAAAGCAATAGAGAAAATGGCTGCATTTCCATCTGTTGTCAAAGCAAGAACATCCGATGTTAGCAGCGTTGACACCAAAACAAATTAAACAATTTAGATGCATGTACAAATAAAACCTAGCAGTGAACTTCCAAACAGCCAATACCTGAAATGAGATGAAGCCAAGGATAATTTGGAAAGCTCTAGGCCATCATGGAACAGACCCCATTCTTACAGACACAGAACAAGGAATCAATATCAAAAGATTGTAATAATATGGTGGTTGATATCTAGCATTTCTTTTAACCATTGTTTGCTGTATGAAGGCTGTCTAGGACAGAATTCCCCAACCTTTTCAGCTTTTCAGCCTGGTGGGATGGGGGAGGGTTGTCCCGTGCACACAGGAGGCAAGTGTGCATACATGCAGCTCCATTTGCATGAGCGGCATGAGCACGTGCCTGTTGCTCACAAATGAAGTGTGCACGCATACAGTCACCTGCTGTTTGCACGAGTGGGGATGCACATACACAGGGTTGCCCACCACTTCCGCAGCCCAGTTCCGAAAGGCTCAAGGCCCAGTAGTGAGTTGCAGCCTGGGGGTTGAGGACCCCTGGTCTAGGATACAAATATCATGGTATGTAAACAGTTTAAAACCATTTTTAACGAAGAAACTATACAACTTGTGCCTCGATCATCTTTTCAGAGATATTTCTTTATCTAAACAGAGAAATAGAATGACAAAGGGCAGGCAAAAAAGCAGTGGGAGTAGAAGCAATGTCCAACTTCCTGACAGCTTCCCCACTGAGTTTTCCTGTGGGAATCTGGCAGAGATCATCATAAATTTCCCCTGCCCTGCCCTGCGGCAGATCAGTGGTTGCTGCTGGGAGGGTGAGGGACTAAGGGACCGTGAAACTGTCTGAAACTGTCACAGACATTGAAAATGAAGATTACATGTCCACAGTGGCAGTACAGCAGCAGCCAGTAATAGTAAACCAGCTACAACTTTTCTAAATTTTATTCTTTTGAGAGTCATGGGTTCTGGATTTTGGACACATTTTATACGTTAGCCCATTTGAAGCATGTTAGTTCAAAAATTGTTGCTCTATGATGCACTGTTTTGCCAAATTAAAGGGCATGACAAGAGAGTTTTAGTAGTACATAGATAACTAACTAAACTTAAATAAATAAATCCAGCTTCAAAATATTCATGTGCTCTAAGCAGTTAAAAGAAACTGCTGATTGACAAACTGATGCCAATCCCAATACTATTCTTGTGTCCAAAATGAATTTGGATAGCCAAGTTTGAATAACTAAACATTGAGGATGAATTTTCAAAACACAGACATATCCTAAGCAAACATCAGACCAACCCGTTCATCATTTGTTGCTCTGGGAGATTCTTCCTTCCCCTCGCTTGGCAGAGGAAGACGAGATAATGTTAGTCCATTCAGAGCCGCTAACTTCAAAGGTCCCATTTTTTTAGCTTCAGCTCTGTTCTTTTTCATGACCTGCTGGAAGAAGACAATCTTTCCAAATACATTGTGATAGAAACCAGAGACAAACTGGAGGAGCAACAAAATTGTGGCTAAACAAGAATATGAACACTTCCCCATACATGTCCGGTACTCTAAGGCTCTGTGTGTGTGTAGACATATAAACAATTTCTCCTCATGAAGTAATGAATCATAACATAGCTATATATGATATATATGCATTATATAAAGGTAAAGGCTTCCCTCTTTCCAGTCATACCATATTTCCCTGAAAGTAAGACCTACCCCAAAAGTAAGCCTTAACTTGATTTTGGGGGATGGGCCTAATATAAGTCCTACCCCCAAAATAAGCCCTAGGCAGGGGGGGTGGATCTGCCCCACGCACCCCACACCCACTTACCATTGCAGCCTGCCTCTGCTCATCGACCCACTTCTTCTGCGGTGTCCCCCGGCCTGTATTTCATAGTCAGAGCCCTTTCCATTCTCAGCTACATCTGGGATATTTGATATGTTTCAGTAGGACCATTAAAAACAATTTCATGTGGATCTACTTCTATGTGAGAATTAATATGAGATCTCCATAAAGTTAACATGTGTATACTAGCTTTCTCCAGGCCATGGAAGGGACCATAGCTTGAAAATAAACAATATTCTCTTCGTACCTTCAATCCCATGTTCATTGCCTACAAATCCCATGCTGTCAATAGGCAAACTCAATAGAAACATATACTTACAATGCCACTGGTCTCCTGCTTGGTTAATATGAAGAGCTTTTCAAATATGACATAAAAAGGTGAAAAGAAGACAATCTTGAGAAAACTCACCCCTAAAGGAGGCAGCCCTTCTACAATATTCTTCTTCCCTGACAGTAATTCAGACACTGGTCTCTTCTTTACAGAATCCTTCCGCACTCTATAGCGGGCAGAAATGGTTAAGTCAGACTCTGACACAGATGGAGTTAGCAGCCCGTCTCCTCTCCTTAGCACCTGAGAGTCACCCATGATGTGTGAGGGGCTCACATCTTTTATCCTCTTGTCAGTCTCAGTAATGTGCAATTTAGGCTCATGTATATGTAAAGGACCAGGAGATGAAGCAACGGAACTATAAGGGTAGTTCAATAAAGATTCAGTTGGATAACATGCCATTAGGGAAGGAAGCTGGGGTTTTCCACTGATGAATGGCAGTGCTGGATTAGCCTTACTTTCGTCTTCACATTCTTCCTCTTCCTCACTACTATGAATGAGCATTGTTGCATCTGAAAGAGATTTCTTATGCCCATAATTCACATTGTCTTCTTGCTCCTCGATTTCTTCTTGTTTTGCCTTTTCTAGGAATACAGAAGTCTGTGACCCAGAAGGGATCGCCTTTGGATGAGCCACATCTGCAGCTGAGGCTGACATGGTTCTCTCTTTAATCCTCATGGCCTCAAAACTGTGCGCCAGGCCAGCAATTTCAATGCTGTTTCTCTTCTGCAACTGAGCATGCCGAGCTGATGTCAAAGGCTCACTCACTTCCTGAAGGGAATGGGCAACTGGCAGGCTGTCCTCCTGGAACGTCTGAACAGAGTGATGGACCCGTCGGGTGATGAGATCAGGGTTACTATTACTGCTGTAGAAGTGTCTGGATAGATCTGGTGTGCTGTTAGCAGGTCGTGGATAAGGATAAGGAGGCGGAGGGCGGTATACTTGAGTCTTCATGATGTTTGGTGCAGGATATTCTTGAGCTTGCAATTGAACATTTGTTAATTCAGGAACGCTCACTGCTCCAACTACCAAGCGTCTTTCAGGGGGATACGGATATGAGGACTGGCTGTGGAAGCTGTAATTCAGATTAAATGGGTAATGACCTGAATGGGGGGAAACAAAGTTAACATGTTCTCGGATTTCAGGCTGACTGTACACCAGGGCATCAGGCCTACTGTAAGCATATGAATTGCCTATATTAAGGTTTCTCATGGAATGACTCTGTTTGTTTGAATTCATCATTCCTCGGTTTAGTTGCTTCATCACAGTCTCATAATCTGGGGTAGGCCGATAAGAAGGGGGTATTAGGGCACTATGTCGGTGCGATGGGACATAATCTGAATGGAGGACATCACTGCCAGTAATGCTTGGGTTGGAGGACATAGGTGATGGCTGCATATAGTGCTGCAGGTTATTCAAGGAATTTGTGCTGTGAGCACTGTAGACACTGCCGTTGCGGATTCTTCCATTATAGTCATGTGGCGCTCTATCCAAGCTAGTCTGAGAATGGCAGTAATAGCCATTCTGGTTAGTCCCATAGAGATTATCTGGAATAGAAATGTTTGCATCTATTTATACCCACATGATGGTAGAAAGAGATAAAAAGCAGTTGCTATCACAATATCATTCCTTCGCTTCACCAATGTATTTTGAAATTAAAAATAAAGCCATGCCTTCATGGGTAAATAAATGACAACTTCATTGTCAATACTTAAAGTACATAAAGTGCAAGACATCTAATTCCAGTCCACTAGCAAAAGCAGCTTCTACTTAATGAAATGTACAGATATTGAAATAAAACCAATACTGCAAATCCACCTACAATATTCTGTCTGTTCACTCCCCAGCCTTCCCATCCTGAGAAACCCTGGACTCTCTCTCTCTCTCTCTCTGTGTGTGTGTGTGTGTGTGTGTTTGTATGTATGTATGTATGTATCAGTGGTGGGATTCAGCCAGTTCACACCAGTTCGGTAGAACCGGTAGCTAAATTTTGTTGAGTTCAGAGAATCGACTGAACCCCATGCTGCTTCTGGAAGTTCGTTCTAGGCCTCGGAGGCCTGGATGAGGTCTCCCAGGCCTAGAACGGCCCACCAGAAGTGTGTGGATGCCACTTCCATGTCACTTCTGGAAGTTCGTTCTAGGCCTCGGCCACCTGGAGGCCTCCCAGGCCTAGAACAGCCCATAGGAAGTGCATTGATGTCACTTCCAGAAGTCCTTTCTAGGCCTCGGAGGCCCAGGCCTGCATCCATGCAGAGAACTGGATGTTCAGGTATTTGAATCCCACCACTGGTGTGTGTGTGTGTGTGTGTGTGTGTGTGTGTGTGTGTGAGAGAGAGAGAGAGAGAGAGAGAGAGAGTACATCAAGCGAAAGCCAGTTGATATTTTCTTCCCAACATTCGCCTTATATTGTAATTAGTCACACAGAGTGCCCTTTTCAGCAGAATAACACAGTAAAATTGCTTAAAGACTTTTAATTGTCAACATTAGGAAACCTAAATGTTGCAAATACAGTACTCATAACAGCATACAACTTTAGTCTTTGACCCGGCACCCAGCTTCCAGAAGGATACCTATAAGTGAATGCTACTGTGCTAATGAGAAATCCTCCTCCCTACATACCAGCTGAACAAGCTTTTAGTAATTAGTTCTTTCTATCCCTTTAAAATATGAATAGTATGACTATTAATTATAAAGTTCACTGGTTCAATTTTGCTCTTGTAAAAATGCTCTTGTATTTTCCAGATGGAAACTTAAGGTAATATGTAGTACAAAGAGACACTCAGTGGTAGAATATAGATTTGATAAAAAGATCCAGATTCAAACTCCAGAGCCTTCAGTTTAAGGATGCAGATAGCACGTGATCAGGAGGAGTCTGGTAGCAATTTTTCTAACTAACACATTTTATTGAAAGGTATAGGGATGTAGTCACAAAAGGCACCAGCAGACTCCTCCAGATTTTTTTGCCAAGATAGAAAACATGGCTTTCTTCCTACAATGTCTACAACAAGCTAGCACATGATGGAATTTGAAGAATTTGGAGAACTTGGAAGGGTGTTGCCCATGTCAATAACCAACCGAATGAGACAAAAATTTGTTCTGAGACAAGGCAGCACCTTGTCTTCTTACATTAGAGCCATACAATCAGTTCTTTATTCAGGTACTAAGCAGTTTGCATGTTCTAAGCCAGGGGTCCCCAAACCCCAGGCCGTGGCTCACTACCGAGCCACAGCCTGTTCAAAACTGGACCATGGGAGAAATGGCAAGCGTGCACACAAGTGGTGGGCAAGTTCACGAGAGCACCCTCCGCTCAAGTGGGCTCTGGTGATGCAAGTGGAACTTCACACACAAGCACAAGTGGCTGCCACTCACATGAGTGGAGCTTCGTGAGCGAGCACAAGCACCCTTCACTCGTGCAAAACTGCATTCGCATGAGTGGAGGGCGCGCACACCACCTACACAAATAGAGTTGTACGCACACATGTGTGCCTGCCACTCATACACCCCCCCACCAGGCCACCAAGTTGAAAAAGTTGGGGACCGCTGTTCTAAGTCATGTTTTATTTAAACACAGTTTACTGAATAAACCAGAGTTGTTGCATTTACATACTGTTTTATGTCTTTATGTAAATCCAACCACTGATTACAGGTAGTCCTCAACTTACAACAGTTTATTTAATGACCGTTTAAAGTTACAACGACACTGAAAAAAGTGACTTATGACTGTTTTTCACACTTATGACATTTCCAGCATCCCCTTGGTCAAGAGATCAAAATTTGGATTTTTGGCCATTGGTTCATATTTATGACAGTTGCAGTGTCCAGGGGTCAGCTTTTATGACCTTTTAACAAGCAAAATCAATGGGGAAGCCAGATTCACTTAACAACTGTGGCAAGAAAGATCATAAAATGGGGCAAATCTCATGTAACAAACGTTTCACTTAGCAACAAAAATTTTGGGCTCAGTTGTGGTCGTAAGTCAAGGACTATCTGTATACCAAGAACTGTTTAACATTAACTATTAATGACTCCCCAATAACATCATCCAAATGTTTTTCACATTTTCCAATTATTCCTTTGCGAAATATTCCAGTTTCCTAAAATTGCTGAAATTTTACCTTGCGAGGATGTATATGTTTCTGGGTAGTGTCCATTGTAGTGTAACTGAGGTGGTGGTGGCATCATATAAGGCTGTGGTTTGGGCTGCTAGAGATATATTGAAGTAAGCAAAGATAGATAACAATTAGAAACAAACTTTACTCCAGTTCTAATATCCACATGCACTTTAAGTCTGAGCACAACAATATCAATTCAGACTAAATGTTATAATTAAAAACTGCAAGAATGTTTTGCAGAGACGTAAGAGCTGGTACATATCATAGCTCCTGCCTATAAAAACAACTGAATCAGGATATCTGTACAACAAAATATAGAAATATGAATTTTATATAAAATATACTGCAGCACCTTTCACTCTAGAACAGGGGTGTCAAAGTTGCCGTGTCACGTGACGTGTCACAATGTATTGCGACTTTTCTTCCCTTTGCCGGAGCTGGGGTGGCTGCGGCTTCTGCATGATGCATCTGGCCTGTGGGCTGGCAGTTTGACACCCCTGCTCTAGAACTTGCAAAATTTCTATTAAGCCAAGCACAGACATATGGGCCTTCCAGAGTTGTTGGATATAAGATGGGCGGCAAATAAATTTTATAAATAAATATACATTAATTAACTGTGGATTTGCTCAGCTGTGAAAAACCTGGATTGGTCAACAAAATCAGTACATTAGCAGTGTCCTCAAACATGAATTGCCAAGAAAGCCTAATTCAAGATTGGCTGGATAACGAATCACAGTTATGTGTGATTTTAGGAAGTGGATGTGAATTGCTTCTCCAGAAAAAGCAGCTTAGAAGAACCCATGCATTGTAAAAGGTATTAAGTTATATTGAAGAGGATTTTTAGAAAGAAAAGAATAATACTAGTTTGTTCCTTAGATTTTCTTCAGCATTACAGATTTAAAATGAAACTTTATTAATTTATAAGAGATATCTGCTATATTCTTAGTTTCATTAATATACAGGTGTGGAGTGCTTACCAGAGACAACCTGGAGGATGATCGTCTTCTAACTGGATTCACTGTCACTGTCTGAGCTTGTCTACAAAACACAATGACATAACACACATTTTGTAGTGGCATCACAGTGGAATCCTATTCATGTATAATCATAAATTTCAATATGCTTAGTGGCAATAAGTGTCTTTAGGACTGTAGTTTGCAATAATTCAAATTCATAAAATGATTCTTCTCCCAAAGAGCCACTTGCCACCACATTACATACAGTATATAGATTTAATCATCCACAGCTGGAAGCATATCGCATCAAATCAAAATAATGTATGTTAGTATATGCAGCTCCTCCAATGGCAGTCAAAAAGACTATGAATACTCATCAGATAACACAGCAATTTTTAATTCATTCATATTAAAATACCAGGGGGGAAAACCATTTAGATTTTCAAAAACACAACAGACTATGAAAAATGATATCCGAAACAATATTGTATTGTTGATGCCCAGTCACCTTATTGTATAGATGGGTGGTAAAATAAATAAATAAATGATATTGCTTAGACCTCAGCAGAGTACACCTGCTTGAACTGTTGCTAATTCAGCTACAACCTAACTACAAGTATGTGTTTAATCATAACTGGTGAATTTCTAAGCAAACTTCAAAATAATCTTCCCCTTTTCTTTGTTCGTTGATAGACTAAATGATGGGGAGGGGAGGTTTATTTTTGTCACATCACAATGCCATATGTAGTTTTATCAAACAGTGAACAGGACATACTGGCAAAGATGGGCAGCAGCATGCATGGCTAGATATGATACCCACTTTTCAAGTAAGCCATGCCTGCATTGATTCACATATCATAGCCCAGAGAAATCCAATCAACATAGACTACACATGGACCAATCTATTACAAATACATAGTAAGATATATAAGAATTTCATATAATGCTCCACATAGCCTGTTACAGCATTTGGAAAATAAAACAGTATTACTCTAATCCTGTGATTTAAGCAACTTCAAAGAAAAATAGCAGGTATCATCTTTTAAGATTTCTATGTCATTAATTGCAATGTGTTTTTCTCTATAAAAAAAATCCAAGGAGGAGAAGGAAATATAGGCTTTTTGATTAGCAGCACTCAAATTCATCATCTGGAAGGAAACTATATCAGTGTTCAAATGTGAAACATAAGTTTTTTTATTATTATTAAGGCAGGTTAGACAGTTGTTACATGCACTCCAAAGTTCAGCTTACAGTCACTCACCTACACTCACAGCCCTGGAAATAGCCACCCTCATACACACATACACACATTCATCCACAGTTATATTCACCTACATTTACCCATGTCCTTCTCACCTAGGCTGGCAGGCACTAGCCAGAGAGTTAGAAGCCACCAAGTCTGGATCCAAAGACAACTCAAAGAATGGGAAAGCTTCAGGACCCCTTTTATCTTCCAAAAGCCTTGACAAGACTGGCAGCTACTCTTGCCTTGTCTGGTAGGTGGTGATGGGATTATGGGGCGGGGTTTTCAGTGTGCTCAAGCCCCTCTTCTTTTGTCTGCTTCAAGTGACAAATGTCCCTTTGTTTCTTTAACAACTTAGTTCCTTCTTATCTACCCCCCTTAAGCAATGTTAGAAAAAGATTCCTGGCTTTTGTGCACTCTGCTTACCTGCTTTCATATCTTTAGGCATGGCAGCTTCAACCTAATCTCACACAGTGATGGACTATCAGTTGATTTATCTCCCTTCCTCCAGAGATATGCAAATTGCTAACATTGTGATAATACAATATGTACTAGTAACCATACGGGGGATGGTGTCTGTGAAAATTATATTGTTTTAATATAGTAATTATGGTTAAGATGTAGTTTATTTGTTGTCTAGCTTACAGCAACTATAATTTAGCAAGGCTCATTTTTGTGGTTTCTTTTTGTGCCATGTCCCAAACATGACAAGTACCATTAAAAAGAACGTGCCAGGAATTTAAAACAGGAACTATGGTTGTTCATTTAAAATCTACTGGTCTTGTTTATAGACTATTCCTCAGACCATGGCTAAAATCGATTATAGCTTAAGACATGTGAATGGCTGCATTCTAACTGAAATTCTTGACTTTTGAACTTTCTCTGTCTCAGCTCTGTTCCTACATACAAAAGAAGGAATATGTTGTTTAAGGATTCCTGAAAAAAGTACAGAAGCTCATTCAAATAATTTTTTTTTGCATATTTTGCATCCTGTATTAATTGGCCTTGTGACAGAAATCATTGGCTCATCAATAATGTTCTAATGTTTATCTATTCTTGCAAACATAAAGTTGCATTAAAAATTGGTCTGGCACATTCTATTTATTCTGAAAACCAAATGACAAACCTTTCATACCCACACCCACATTCTTCATTTGTGTAGGACACAGACAGATAGGGAAATGGTATATTTATTGGGATTCAATGTCCAAAGGGATAGCTTCTTTAAATCACATCACTGTGGGTATATGGGAGCACTATAAACATTAGACATGCAAAATGTGCAAGAGGAAAGAAGAAAGAAAGATTTTGTGTTTTGGCTCACCCTTTGGGCAGAGAAGGACGAGAAAGGATTGGAAAGCGTGGAAAGGCAAGAATGAGGAAAGATTTCTGAGAGCCTTCTTCAGGCGAAGAATCTGAGGAGTCTCTAAAGACAAGGTACATGCAGACAAAACATAGGCAATTAAATAGCTCATTATGAAAATGGATGTTGACTATAAACAAATGTGACATCATAATAGGTTTTCAAGTGGGTTTCTTAAGGGTGACATCTCTCAATGGTTAAGACCCAACTCTTCTTAGGTAGCAAACATAAACTTGTTTTTACAGAAGAAGGGTTCTGTTAGATAGCAATGGAAACACACGTTCTCTGATTTTAACCAATAGGCCTGAGTTAAAAGGAAAAGAATGATTACTGCTATTTTAAAATGTGAATTCTAAATTTACATAAAAGGTAAAAATTCCCTTGAGTTGAACAACTCCTGGTGACTTCATGGACATGTTAACAAAGTTTTCCTGATAACAATACAGAATTATTTTGCGTCCTCATAACTAGAAATGCTAGCTGTGTAGATGAAGCAAATCAGGAGATAAAAACATCTCCTAGAAAATAATTCAAATACTTACATGCTTAAATCCCAAATCCAATATTAGGCTGAAAAGAACTTTATTTGTTTACACATTTATTCTGAGAAGCAAACCTCACTACATCTAGCATATTAAGGTTTTGTGAATCCTGTTCATGATCTGAAGCTCAGCGACATCTTTCATGAACAATTTTCTTTTTTTCATAATTAACTTTGAACATTGATTACCTTACAAATAGAGTGAATGTATGCAACTAGATCAAAAGCACCCCACAGACTCATTTTATAACCCAGTCTAATCAACATTGAAAATTTGGCAATTTTGGCTAGTACAATTAATCCTCCTTCTCTTTCTTTTACATTTTATGGCTTAAAATAGATGAAACCTCTTTCTCTGCAAAGGTTTTAAAATGTTTCTAAAAGGAAAGTGCAAAAAAATGGGAAAAGATAGCTAAAGTCTATGAAGTTAAGGTTTTCTAGAACTAAGAAGTTTTGCAAAGGTGCTTGATTATTTACACTATGGAGAGTTTTAGGTCACAGAAGGAAAAGGAAAAGCACTATAATAAGCATCACTTCTGCTAACATGGCTGTCCCCATAGCTCCATTTCCATTTCTTAGCTATTCTTTGAAGCAGACTTCTTTCTTCTTTGTTTACATTTTAAAAAAATGAGTTTCAAAAATGTACTTAGTGCTGATACATTTTAACATGTCTGTAATGTTTATTACAAACTGTTTCCAGGATACCTATCTTTTATATGAACAATGACATTCCATCATTCCTTGTAAAACAATTATTCACTACTTTGGCCTGTCATACAATTGATTTTATCAGAAACTTTATCAAACAAAGCTATAGACCAAATGTTATCATGCATCTATCCATTGAAGAATTACCCTGACATATTCATTGTTTAAAAACAACTAATTTGACTGCAATAAATAAAACTTACTAGGTTTTTTTTTATTTGCAATGTTCTTATTCTGGTCCTCAAATATGTGTGGCAAACTTACATTTGGGAATGAATTGAATCTTTTTTTGCTTATGTAAGATGTTTCTTTAAACCTATTCTTCCAAAAAGAAGATACTGAGGAAGTAAAAAAGATTAACCTGATGGAGATATGCAAGAATCGTTACCTAGGTAAAAGCAGCTGAAGCATTTTTTTTTT